ATAGGAGTACAGCCTGTTTTAAAGGTTCAAAGGGAGGCTCGGGCGGTCGAGTACCCGGAAGAAGTTTCCACGAGTACTACGTGGTCGAAGATGCTTCGTTGGCATGCTGCGAAGATTAATCAGCGATGCGCGATGACATTTACCAATTTCATCAAAGTCGCTCGTTGATTTCGACCCGTGAATTATTCATCGAATGACTCCGCGGAGCTTTTGCCAGTGACAGTGACTGACACCTACGATTTTTCTCCGCAGCATTAAGGCTCGTTTTGTAAATGCATTCTCGATACGTTCCTAAACTTCCATCTCCGTTTCTGCTTTTGTATATATCGACTGATTCGCGCGTATCCACGGTCTCATATATAAAAGTCGAGTGACAGTTCCGATGACCCAGAAAGCCGAAGTGATCGAGGACGCATTGGGGATTAAGAGAATCGCACATATTTCTTTCGAAATGAGGCGTAGCAACACGTTTCGAAATCACGTTTGAAGACGTGAACATATCTGTATTTTCTAATAAAAAGGCGAAGACATTTATGCTAAAGAAATATCCGAATTATCAAAAAGATGAGAGAAGATCATACAAGGTGGCGAATATGTCATTGATCAATCGTCAATATTGAATTTTCCTTTGGGAAAACACGAATGAACCTATTACACAACAAAATACGTCAGCTGGCTGTCACGAAATTGATTAAAACCGAAACGAATTCGAAACAAGTATTAAATTTATGAAATACTTTGAATCGAAGAAATTCGAACAAACACGACCAAACGAATTCGCAGAAACGGAGCTAGAGACGAATATATATATTAAAATATAAAATTTCCGAAAAAGGACTGTAAATGGTGCCGAGTCTCGCGATGCCAAACCGCGTAGAGCTATCCGAGAGATTAGTTTATGGTCCCGCTATATTCCTACCAACCACGAGCCGTGTCACGGTCGCTTTTTCCGAGTTACGAAAAGCAGCCGGATTTCTGTCAGACCGTACTCGAAGCATTCCCCTATTCGACGTTCCAGCGTGGAATTTATTTTTACTTTCCTCCGAGATTCGAGTTTGGAATCGATAGGTAATTTCGCAGGTCTGATTCGAAGATAGGAAGGGTGGAATGCGTTGATGGTTGAATTAAAGGCGGAGTTATATCGAAGAATCAGACGCGAACGGCTTTGAAGAACGGAAACGGGCTAACCGAAATTCGGCAGGAAATTCATCGCGTTTTGTGGATCAGTGGCGAGCGATGTTAATTAAAGCTGCCTGCGAATTCGCAGTTATGAATTTTCAGAAGCCAGTGACGTCGGTGAAATTCAATTATCGTTCAAACAGCAATGACGATCAAAGCGAATAGGTTATCACGCGTGGAATGATCTCGCGGGTCCTGTCCAAGACTGTCAACGATACACTGGCCACCTTTCATCGCGTGAAAAATTTCTGGTATAATAAATAACAATAACGGTGCTAAGTATTAAATATAAAATATGAAATTAATTCTGACGTTTCAAGACCGAGCTTCAATCATTTCATATCGCCTTCATGCTATCATTATATAAATTTCAATTGCTAAATGCACATTTAAAAGTGTCACGTTTAAAATTTACAATTCGTCAAAGTATTGTCCTATCTATCAAATACGCTAAAAATTACGCTTCGTGACTTACAGAACTCGTAAATCTACTTAGAATAATTACGAATTTTATGCTACTGTTGTATAAAGTCCTAATTGTTAAATGTTACGACCTAAGAAACACGCAATCCTATATGTTAACTATGATAACTTGTTATCAGCTACATCTAGAATTTGCAATTCGTCAAAGTATTGTCCTATCTATCAAATACGCTAAAAATTACGCTTCGCGACTTACAGAACTCGTAAATCTACTTAGAATAATTACGAATTTTATGCTACTGTTGTATAAAGTCCTAATTGTTAAATGTTAAGACCTAAGGAACACGCAGTTCTATATGCCAACTATGATAACTTACTATCAACTACATCTAGAATTTGTAATTCGTCAAAATACTGTCCTATCTATCAAATACGCTAAAAATTACGCTTCGTGACTTACAGAACTCGTAAATCTACTTAGAATAATTACGAATTTTATGCTACTGTTGTATAAAGTCCTAATTGTTAAATGTTACGACCTAAGAAACACGCAATCCTATATGTTAACTATGATAACTTGTTATCAGCTACATCTAAAATTTTCAATTCGCCAAAGTAGGGTCCTAATTCATTAACCTATCCGTCACGTACGCTAAAAATTACGCTAGACTACTTATGGAACCCGTAAATTTACCTAATTAACTAATTTACTAATCTTGACAATCAAACTTACAAAAAAATAAAATAATTGCAGTAATCATATATATATAATTAAAAGGAGATTGTACAAAAGGAATGTACGTGTTTTAAACAGCTGTGGACACACGCATGCAATGGTAGCGACTAGTATGAAACTGTATGTATATGACTTACCACTGAACGGCTGTGGCGTTGCTGCTCGGCTTCGGTTCTGCGACCAGACTGAATAACCCCAGGAAGGTCCTGTAAAACCGACGACTCTGCCTAGCAGGAAGCCCAAGCGTGTGTTTACATATGTCCCGAACAGAGGCTCGTAGAGCCTAATCCGTCCACGTCGGTGATACCAACACAAGCAGCTCTCCTCGCGCCTTGTTTTGACCTCGCACTACCAGGCACGACGCGAGGCTCCGGCTTCTGGAAAAGACCATAAAACGTTTTCTGTAATTTTCGTCAACAACACCCCACACCTCTCCCCAATCGCGAAAATATTCTCGATTCACTCACTTTCGCAGTTTTATTCTTTGTTACGATTTTAACGCGTCATCGCAGATTGCACGAGCTATCCAGAAAGTTCACAAAGACACGTGTGTTTACTCGTCGATCACTTACAAGACTGCGAAGACGAACGTTAGTTTATTTCGACACTAGACACAAGATGGCGCTGACTACAAACCGCGAGCGGGAAATTAGAATTCATCGACACTCTTTTATGGTCCTATTTCACTTAGGTTCTCAAACCTACGATAGGTACGCGATCAAAAATCCAACGTTAACTGAAATAAGACCAACGGTAACTCGGTAATTTTTCTAAATTAATTACGCGACGCTATCTATCCCTCAAACGCGACGATCAAAATCAAAAGACTATATTAAGACGATACTACGCGATCAAAAATCCAACGTTAATTGAAATAAGACCAACGGTAACTCGGTAATTTTTCTAAATTAATTACGCGACGACGAAAATCAAAAGACACTCCAGGACGATCTAGCGCGCGAACTCGAATTAACCGGAAGTGGCGATGAAGACCGCGAGGTCCCCAGGCGCGAATTTCGACGCGAGCATTGTGGGCGCAAGAAAAAGGCAGGAAGAAGCCGCCATGGGAGTATGATGTTCACGAAACGGCGAGGCCAGGTTGAAATGCGCGGCTCTTTTATAACGAGCTAGTGGGCTTGCACGCCGCTCGTTAACCCGGCCATCAGTTTCACGCATCGCGCTGCAAAAATGCACGGCGAACAACGCGAAACGCGTGGCCGACTCACCGCTGTTGACTTTTCCGGTGCAGCCCCCTGCACCCCGCCGCGCCCGGCCTGTCCCGTCCTTTTATTTCTGATTTTTCAATTTCTACCCCTTTCGCATTACGCTCTCGCCCGTATCCGCGGTTACGAGTCACTCCATCCTTTCATGGCGAAACGATTGTTCCGCTTGCACGAAGAGCGATTCCCGTCGACAAACAGCTAGCGCGTTTAATATCCGCGAGCATCACGCGAACGGGGGTGGACTTCTGATTGGACTTGCGAAGATTCGGGCAAGATTTCGTGGGTTTGGTCTGCATCCTCCATTGGCAACTGTGTGTTTGCCATAATTTCGACCCATTGGTTTCGCGCGGAGAAACACTCTGTGCGGGATGAAACGGAGCTGGCGGAGTGACAGGTTTAATAACGTAAAAGGGTTGTTTCCGTGTTCGGCAGGAATTCCAAGTACCAGGGTGTTTATCGCGCGAGTAATTCCGTAGCCGTAAAGAAAAGATAGAATTTTTTTTCAAATTCCAGTTTACTCGTTAATTGGATTGGAAATTGCGAGATTTGCGTATTCATTTGGACAGTGAAAATGAATAAAAATAAGCTTTATATCGTGAAAAAAAATATCGCGATTTTAAAAAATTCTAGTTTATTCGAAAAACACCGTGTCGCGCGACATGCGATTCGCGTATTTATTAAAAGGGAAAAAATGGATAACAACGAACCCCGTATTTTTCAACAAATTGGATAATTTCATCGGATGCTAACAAACGGGATTAAAATTTAGAATTTTTCCGATATTCGAAATGTCACGATTTAATGTGAACTTAAATATGTCAACTGCATTATCACACGCGTGTAGAGAATATAAAATACTAGTAAACATAAGCAGAAACAATGTGATTGACAAGGTACGAAGAAAAAATATCCCGATATTTACCAGCGCTGCAATTTTTCAAAGGGAAACACATTTTCTGACACGAATTCGGTTTTTCAAACCAATCGGGACACGCGTGTGCACTTGTACAATTCCCGGGACAACTTGGTTGCGAGCAAAAGCATCGTAATTCGAAGAATTTACAGGACGCGACAAAAATTATCCGCTTTATCGTGAGCGTTGCCGAACACGTGTAAACGTATAGATAATTAAAAACGGTGGATGAAATTGATTTTCGGATGAACGGGTCAAACGAATCGCGTCATCTGATTACCAGATTAGAGGTGGTTCCGCTACAATCACCGCGAAACGTTTCGGCCCCGACGGACACCGCAGACCAAACAGAAAGTCCGCCAATGAATTACGGCCGATGTGATGCGCAATCGTGCGCGCGTAATTTTCCGAAAACGCGAATAGTACAATGTACAAACGCGTATGGCGTGAAGCGGCGAACCGCGGGTACGACCGTGGAGAATTTTCGCGTCCGCGCCATTCACGGTAAATCTTTTGGCTGTTGCAGGTCTGCTGAGGTTACAGCAGATCTACCAAGACCTGAAACCTGGAAACGAGTCGTTCCAGGTGGAAACGGTCAAGCGAATACAAAACATGTCCGAGGCGATCGACTTCCTTCGGAGCTTGGAAGAATTGAACAGGTGAGTCGAAGAAATTTCCACGAAACGCGATTTCGTTCACAGCTGAAACCTGAACGAGTAAGGATGGATAGTATTTATTCCCCAGCTTGATTAATAAATATATTATCGCGAGCGTGAAGCTCGAAAATCGATGTTTACTTTTAAACGAAACGAAATAAATGCGAAATAAATAGAATTTAAATAAAAATTGGAGCGGAAATGCTAATTAACGCAATTTTATTCCCGGCACTCGTTTATCTCCTGAATAATTTTTAATACATAGCCTTCGAAAGCCCGGCCGCCATTTTTCTCAGCAAAAATAACTCGCCTTGAACTGTTTACCTCTGCAGTCACTAAAAAAGTGCAACTATTTTTCACGATATTAATTATCTAATAAAAAGGCGAAGACATTTATGCTAAAGAAATATCCGAATTATCAAAAAGATGAGAGAAGATCATACAAGGTGGCGAATATGTCATTGATCAATCGTCAATATTGAATTTTCCTTTGGGAAAACACGAATGAACCTATTACACAACAAAATACGTCAGCTGGCTGTCACGAAATTGATTAAAACCGAAACGAATTCGAAACAAGTATTAAATTTATGAAATACTTTGAATCGAAGAAATTCGAACAAACACGACCAAACGAATTCGCAGAAACGGAGCTAGAGACGAATATATATATTAAAATATAAAATTTCCGAAAAAGGACTGTAAATGGTGCCGAGTCTCGCGATGCCAAACCGCGTAGAGCTATCCGAGAGATTAGTTTATGGTCCCGCTATATTCCTACCAACCACGAGCCGTGTCACGGTCGCTTTTTCCGAGTTACGAAAAGCAGCCGGATTTCTGTCAGACCGTACTCGAAGCATTCCCCTATTCGACGTTCCAGCGTGGAATTTATTTTTACTTTCCTCCGAGATTCGAGTTTGGAATCGATAGGTAATTTCGCAGGTCTGATTCGAAGATAGGAAGGGTGGAATGCGTTGATGGTTGAATTAAAGGCGGAGTTATATCGAAGAATCAGACGCGAACGGCTTTGAAGAACGGAAACGGGCTAACCGAAATTCGGCAGGAAATTCATCGCGTTTTGTGGATCAGTGGCGAGCGATGTTAATTAAAGCTGCCTGCGAATTCGCAGTTATGAATTTTCAGAAGCCAGTGACGTCGGTGAAATTCAATTATCGTTCAAACAGCAATGACGATCAAAGCGAATAGGTTATCACGCGTGGAATGATCTCGCGGGTCCTGTCCAAGACTGTCAACGATACACTGGCCACCTTTCATCGCGTGAAAAATTTCTGGTATAATAAATAACAATAACGGTGCTAAGTATTAAATATAAAATATGAAATTAATTCTGACGTTTCAAGACCGAGCTTCAATCATTTCATATCGCCTTCATGCTATCATTATATAAATTTCAATTGCTAAATGCACATTTAAAAGTGTCACGTTTAAAATTTACAATTCGTCAAAGTATTGTCCTATCTATCAAATACGCTAAAAATTACGCTTCGTGACTTACAGAACTCGTAAATCTACTTAGAATAATTACGAATTTTATGCTACTGTTGTATAAAGTCCTAATTGTTAAATGTTACGACCTAAGAAACACGCAATCCTATATGTTAACTATGATAACTTGTTATCAGCTACATCTAGAATTTGCAATTCGTCAAAGTATTGTCCTATCTATCAAATACGCTAAAACTTACGCTTCGCGACCTACAGAACTCGTAAATCTACTTAGAATAATTACGAATTTTATGCTACTGTTGTATAAAGTCCTAATTGTTAAATGTTAAGACCTAAGGAACACGCAGTTCTATATGCCAACTATGATAACTTACTATCAACTACATCTAGAATTTGTAATTCGTCAAAATACTGTCCTATCTATCAAATACGCTAAAACTTACGCTTCGCGACCTACAGAACTCGTAAATCTACTTAGAATAATTACGAATTTTATGCTACTGTTGTATAAAGTCCTAATTGTTAAATGTTACGACCTAAGAAACACGCAATCCTATATGTTAACTATGATAACTTGTTATCAGCTACATCTAAAATTTTCAATTCGCCAAAGTAGGGTCCTAATTCATTAACCTATCCGTCACGTACGCTAAAAATTACGCTAGACTACTTATGGAACCCGTAAATTTACCTAATTAACTAATTTACTAATCTTGACAATCAAACTTACAAAAAAATAAAATAATTGCAGTAATCATATATATATAATTAAAAGGAGATTGTACAAAAGGAATGTACGTGTTTTAAACAGCTGTGGACACACGCATGCAATGGTAGCGACTAGTATGAAACTGTATGTATATGACTTACCACTGAACGGCTGTGGCGTTGCTGCTCGGCTTCGGTTCTGCGACCAGACTGAATAACCCCAGGAAGGTCCTGTAAAACCGACGACTCTGCCTAGCAGGAAGCCCAAGCGTGTGTTTACATATGTCCCGAACAGAGGCTCGTAGAGCCTAATCCGTCCACGTCGGTGATACCAACACAAGCAGCTCTCCTCGCGCCTTGTTTTGACCTCGCACTACCAGGCACGACGCGAGGCTCCGGCTTCTGGAAAAGACCATAAAACGTTTTCTGTAATTTTCGTCAACAACACCCCACACCTCTCCCCAATCGCGAAAATATTCTCGATTCACTCACTTTCGCAGTTTTATTCTTTGTTACGATTTTAACGCGTCATCGCAGATTGCACGAGCTATCCAGAAAGTTCACAAAGACACGTGTGTTTACTCGTCGATCACTTACAAGACTGCGAAGACGAACGTTAGTTTATTTCGACACTAGACACAAGATGGCGCTGACTACAAACCGCGAGCGGGAAATTAGAATTCATCGACACTCTTTTATGGTCCTATTTCACTTAGGTTCTCAAACCTACGATAGGTACGCGATCAAAAATCCAACGTTAACTGAAATAAGACCAACGGTAACTCGGTAATTTTTCTAAATTAATTACGCGACGCTATCTATCCCTCAAACGCGACGATCAAAATCAAAAGACTATATTAAGACGATACTACGCGATCAAAAATCCAACGTTAATTGAAATAAGACCAACGGTAACTCGGTAATTTTTCTAAATTAATTACGCGACGACGAAAATCAAAAGACACTCCAGGACGATCTAGCGCGCGAACTCGAATTAACCGGAAGTGGCGATGAAGACCGCGAGGTCCCCAGGCGCGAATTTCGACGCGAGCATTGTGGGCGCAAGAAAAAGGCAGGAAGAAGCCGCCATGGGAGTATGATGTTCACGAAACGGCGAGGCCAGGTTGAAATGCGCGGCTCTTTTATAACGAGCTAGTGGGCTTGCACGCCGCTCGTTAACCCGGCCATCAGTTTCACGCATCGCGCTGCAAAAATGCACGGCGAACAACGCGAAACGCGTGGCCGACTCACCGCTGTTGACTTTTCCGGTGCAGCCCCCTGCACCCCGCCGCGCCCGGCCTGTCCCGTCCTTTTATTTCTGATTTTTCAATTTCTACCCCTTTCGCATTACGCTCTCGCCCGTATCCGCGGTTACGAGTCACTCCATCCTTTCATGGCGAAACGATTGTTCCGCTTGCACGAAGAGCGATTCCCGTCGACAAACAGCTAGCGCGTTTAATATCCGCGAGCATCACGCGAACGGGGGTGGACTTCTGATTGGACTTGCGAAGATTCGGGCAAGATTTCGTGGGTTTGGTCTGCATCCTCCATTGGCAACTGTGTGTTTGCCATAATTTCGACCCATTGGTTTCGCGCGGAGAAACACTCTGTGCGGGATGAAACGGAGCTGGCGGAGTGACAGGTTTAATAACGTAAAAGGGTTGTTTCCGTGTTCGGCAGGAATTCCAAGTACCAGGGTGTTTATCGCGCGAGTAATTCCGTAGCCGTAAAGAAAAGATAGAATTTTTTTTCAAATTCCAGTTTACTCGTTAATTGGATTGGAAATTGCGAGATTTGCGTATTCATTTGGACAGTGAAAATGAATAAAAATAAGCTTTATATCGTGAAAAAAAATATCGCGATTTTAAAAAATTCTAGTTTATTCGAAAAACACCGTGTCGCGCGACATGCGATTCGCGTATTTATTAAAAGGGAAAAAATGGATAACAACGAACCCCGTATTTTTCAACAAATTGGATAATTTCATCGGATGCTAACAAACGGGATTAAAATTTAGAATTTTTCCGATATTCGAAATGTCACGATTTAATGTGAACTTAAATATGTCAACTGCATTATCACACGCGTGTAGAGAATATAAAATACTAGTAAACATAAGCAGAAACAATGTGATTGACAAGGTACGAAGAAAAAATATCCCGATATTTACCAGCGCTGCAATTTTTCAAAGGGAAACACATTTTCTGACACGAATTCGGTTTTTCAAACCAATCGGGACACGCGTGTGCACTTGTACAATTCCCGGGACAACTTGGTTGCGAGCAAAAGCATCGTAATTCGAAGAATTTACAGGACGCGACAAAAATTATCCGCTTTATCGTGAGCGTTGCCGAACACGTGTAAACGTATAGATAATTAAAAACGGTGGATGAAATTGATTTTCGGATGAACGGGTCAAACGAATCGCGTCATCTGATTACCAGATTAGAGGTGGTTCCGCTACAATCACCGCGAAACGTTTCGGCCCCGACGGACACCGCAGACCAAACAGAAAGTCCGCCAATGAATTACGGCCGATGTGATGCGCAATCGTGCGCGCGTAATTTTCCGAAAACGCGAATAGTACAATGTACAAACGCGTATGGCGTGAAGCGGCGAACCGCGGGTACGACCGTGGAGAATTTTCGCGTCCGCGCCATTCACGGTAAATCTTTTGGCTGTTGCAGGTCTGCTGAGGTTACAGCAGATCTACCAAGACCTGAAACCTGGAAACGAGTCGTTCCAGGTGGAAACGGTCAAGCGAATACAAAACATGTCCGAGGCGATCGACTTCCTTCGGAGCTTGGAAGAATTGAACAGGTGAGTCGAAGAAATTTCCACGAAACGCGATTTCGTTCACAGCTGAAACCTGAACGAGTAAGGATGGATAGTATTTATTCCCCAGCTTGATTAATAAATATATTATCGCGAGCGTGAAGCTCGAAAATCGATGTTTACTTTTAAACGAAACGAAATAAATGCGAAATAAATAGAATTTAAATAAAAATTGGAGCGGAAATGCTAATTAACGCAATTTTATTCCCGGCACTCGTTTATCTCCTGAATAATTTTTAATACATAGCCTTCGAAAGCCCGGCCGCCATTTTTCTCAGCAAAAATAACTCGCCTTGAACTGTTTACCTCTGCAGTCACTAAAAAAGTGCAACTATTTTTCACGATATTAATTATCTCGCATAATATTTATATATACCTTAGCCTCTCTTATATAAACCTATTTATTTTTATTATACTATATTAGCACCAACTATGCAGGGTGTCTACGTTATTCCTAGCCAACGTCTTTTCTCGCGTGAATAATGAATATTAAAAACATATACCTCATTTATGCTACGCTTTTTACCCTACACACGTCTGCACACATCGTGTACACGTATTACAGTTACAAGTCGTTTTAACGTTAAGAATATTTTTCATTTCTCCGAAAAGCAAGTCAAAGGTTGGCTCTAATCAGCCGCGCATTAGTACAGCTCTATTTTTCCAGTAGTAAAGTCCGTCAGCGTTCGGACAGACTGACGGATCACGCTTTTGTGCGGTCACCGCGTATCTCGGCCGCAATTTACCACCGGCCACGCATTTGCACGGGCCAGGTAATCAACAGCCAGGCTGACAATGAACCCGAATCGAATGAACGTTCCCATTACCGAAAACAAAACGTATCTATCGCGAATCGTCGTCGGTCCTTCCGCGACTTTATCGTCGGAGAAGCGACGCGTCTGGAATTATGTAAATTCGTTACACGCACTCGGTCGTTGGGACCTCTCATGAGGTATTTTACGAAACGAAAATGCCAGCGAATGTCTCCTGTTTCAACCCGCTCGAACACGATGACGACGAGGAGAGGCGTGGAGAGTTGCGGAAACGCGATTAGAAATTTAATGCGTCGTTGAGAAATTTAAACGTTCGCGTAAGGAGGGAAACTGGGAACGTAAAAGGCCGTTTAAAGATTGAGAAATTCGTGCAAAAGCGATTGGGAATTTAGAATGGGTTATTCGCTCGTTCTGCTACTCCATAGAGTGATTTAACTACTTGCGCTGGAAGGACGTGTCACGCACGTCGTAATGCTTTTGTCGCAAAATCGCCAACGACGTGTGGTATACACGTGGTTAGGCAATTGTTACAGAAACACTGGACCGTTCTGGTACACGCACCTGTGAATTTCTTGCCACCGCAAGTGGTTAAATAGGGTATTAAATTTTTCCGTATATTAAAATAGGGTATTTAATTTTGAGGAGTTACTGCGAAGAGACGCCAATTACGTTTTAATGATAAACCCTTTTGCCGAAGTGTCGGAACATCTTGACAGAACCTATGGCTTAATATCCTTCATTTTCAAACTTTCGAAGATTACTCGTTCAAAGTCTTGTCAAGGTTATCGCAGGACCACTCAGACCAACGCCTCGAGGATTATTTAAAGTTTCAAACTCAGACAAAATCGGCCAATTATTCTGTAGCTCGATAAGAAGCTCGATTTATAATTAGGCTACCGATGCTTAAGCAAAGCTCGAATTAAAGAGGAGCGAAATTGCAACGAAATTAAATGGTAAACGATTTAATCCGTTTGCAGGTGGAGTAACAAGTACGTGGTACTCGATTGTCCAACTGACATGGCGAAGGACATCGTGGTGAGTCACGTGAGGGACGTTGCACTGGGCAAAAGGACGTACCACTACCTACTGAGCGGATTGGTGAGTGCGAAATTTATAAATGAAATAACAAACATAACATAGTCGTGCAAACGACGCGAATCCATGGTTCGCGATGGAAATTTCACTTCCGCGGGATAATCCGGAAACGCGAAGGAACCTTCGAACGACAGAGGACATTTTAGGATTCAGACAGAACGGTATGTGCAGTGACGTATAATGAAACAGTAGCTCACGCGAATACCGAGCGATACAAAAGACAAGAATACATTGTTCAGCGGTTTCAAGCGAATAATAATGAACGGGAATATGCCCTTTCGAGATACATAATTTATGCTTTTGTCCAAATTCTTTGTACCATAGACAAGGGGTGCCATTGTCACGTGATTGTTCTCGAAACGGCAGCGTCCCATTTATCCGAGATATAATCCCGGCAAATTGGCACAATTTAGCCACGCGAGAATTCGAAATTTCGATCTACGAATTATTCGTAAAAATATTTCAACGTCGATGCATGATAGAGACACCCTACTTCCCGTTTCACTTATCCAATCGTCGAACGTATCTTCAGCCTCCCGTTCGCCATTTCGTTTCGTCGACCAGGAGAGAAACGTTCGGTTCCTAGATCGACACGATGGATCGGGTAATCTTAGATGAACGGTCACACTTTTGGCACGTCTGCTCGTACCTATAAACCTGGTCACCTATTCCGATGGATGCGAAACGGGAAGCGCAGGACCCGCCAGGGTACCACGAGATATTCTCGTGCTTCATACGACGCTACAAACACGGTGTTTTCGTATAATCAGATAATGGACGACCGATGGGAGAGCGAGGTGATCGAGTACGGCGCCATCAACATCACCGGCTTCCGCATCTTGGATGCTACACGACCCTACGTCAAAGACTTCCTCGCTGGCTGGCATCGCCTGGACCCGGCCACGTATAAAGGAGCTGGCCGCGAATCCATTTCTGTACGTATGCTATATACTCCTTCTTCCTGCCATCGCCACATTTCCTCGTGAACATTGTCTCCCTCTGCCTTCTTCCTCCAGCCAAATCCGTGCAACGTGCTTGCATCCTTGCTCGCTTGGATCCGAATGGATCGTTGCAAAATTGTTTCCCTTACCTAACACAGACACACTCCTACGTCGCGAGAATACCACGTCGCATCCCTTTCGAGTCGCGTATATTTTCGCCAAGACCTCTCTTTGTCTGCCCTCCAACGACCTCTCTTTTCTCGAAATTTAGCCAGCATTATCTTCGACCCTCGCCACTTCCAATAACCGCGAATGCTCTAGTACTTATCGGGCTGTAGTCGTCTTACCGACAAGGGACGCCAATTCCATATGGGCTGTCGAGTACCTTCGAGTACGCCAATTTTCTGCCCTAAGCGCCACGGTCTACTCCGGTTTCCGGCTTGTTTTCGGATACTTAGCACGGTCAAGTGGACGACCCGATTGCACGCGAGAGGGACGCCTCGAGTTTCGGCAAAAGAAAAGCAGACCTGGATTCCGTAACCCGAGTAGACTATGGCTTTGCGTAGAGGTAATACTCGAGGTATCACAGGGCAGATCGAAAGTCATGCGCGCGATAATTCTCGTTTTCTGATCTCGTCGAAACGAAGAAGGTTGCAAGCAGAGAAAGAATAAAATTAAAAAAGGGGAACTTGAATATCCTAATTCCCTAAACCATCGTTGTTCGCGTCCCCAAAAATAAAGTCCGAAAATACACATACGAAATTTGAAGGAAAATTTTCGTGGAACGAGAAAACGATTTTTGGGGCCAGGAAAAATTGTTGGAGCACGATTCGGATTTTTCTATCGATATCGCGTTATTCGTCGAGCATCGTTCTCAGAATAGGCAACAAACTCCGGGGCCATTCCAAAATTCACAATAGCTCGGAACGCTGCTATGAATCATTTGGGACTTTGCAACGGTATCGGAGGATGTATTCGAGTCCGTGGAAATGCGTGCGTTTGCACAAAAATAGTGTTTGCGCTACGCCATCGAACGTTTCCGGTATTCCCGACAATGTTACACAACATCGAAAATCGATAAACACCGACGTTGTGAAATTCCGCGATATGAAGAGAGAGAGGAAAAAAAAGAAGAAAAATAGAAAAAATTCCGTATCCTTCGCGACGATATCGCGAAAATGGCCGATTCGCAACGATGTTTCGCGTTGTAACGTAGTGCCCCGAGACCTCGTAATAACGTTACAAAGCGTAACGACGAATTTCATCCGGTCATAACCGTTACCGCTGCGCGCTATCAACCCTCGCACGTCCATCGTAGAATTTTACTGCGATCCACCGATGAATCGCGCCACCTAAGCTCGCCGAAACGATCCACCCTTATCGCGATCTCGAGCAACGTGCGCCCGATCGCGCCTTCTCCACGTTCGATCCACGGATCCGGATTGCCGAGCAGCTCGGAAGACGAAACTGCGCGCGATCCGACGCACCGATTATCCTGATCGATCGACGAGCAATTTCCGACTTTGGCCACGTGCCCGACCTGGTCCTCGTGAATCTGCGTACGTCTCGTCACAGCGATAAACGATTTTCTCGCTTCTCGGAGTCAGCTTAACCGCCACGCCCGGAAACTGCCACCAAGAACTTCCCTTCCTTTCTCGTCCCAACGTCCAACCGATCATTCCGATTATTGCCACGATTAACGAAGCTTCCAATTGCTCGGGAATCAAGGGACTCGAGAAATTTCTACGAGTATGCTTGGCTTGGCTACTGGGATACCCGTGATAGAGCAGGGTGCAGATGGAGGTTTGATAAAAGAATGTAACTCGTGGCGACCATTGTCGAATTTCGTGGGATATAAAAGGGAGTGGTCTTTTGTAATCCTTTGAGTGTGTCGTGACTCGAGTGAGAATCGTTCTTCAGGGTTTAGAGAGGAACGTCGATAGACAGAACTGTGAATAAATATAGATCCGACCTATTTAGTTTGTCACGCTCGAGTAGCATTTTCAAGAGCAGCTTGTGGAATACCGGGATTAAAAGTTTCCGATACTCGTGATAAAGGAGGGTTGGAATTTTTGGTACACCGATGTTATACGTGTCTGTTTACATTACTTAGGGAAACTTCTTTTCGCTCGGGATACCGCTCGTGTCGGTTTAAAAGCAGCTTCATGTATAATTCATGCCGCCATGTTACTTAGCCTTGGCGGCCGTATCTCTGACAGAAAAAGAAAACAGTTTAAAGATCGCTATAAGTACCGTGATTTCTTTTTTATTGTAATTAGGAGCGTAGATATATAACTATATCCTGCTTGATTCGAAATTATTGTAGGCAAGACCAGTATAGGCGAATACTGGCCTCGAGACACCGAAAATTGACGAAAGAACAAGAACGCAATAACACAAACTCAAAACTCGTACACTGATTTAACTTAAGGAAATAATACCAAGATAACGAAAACACGCAAAGACGCGCTCTTTTAAAACTCTCTTTCCAACACCCAGCGACTCACGCTTGTGCTGGTCACAACCGATTTCTAAGAACTCTGTTTTGCTTGTCAAGGACCCACGCTTTTATGCTTTCCTTAACCTACGATTCACCTCCCCGTAGGAGAGTCACGCAACTTAATTTTGTTACATAGAATCACTTTTCGATTTGCTTCCAGAAAATATCGATCGGTTTACAATTTGCTTTTGTCGGCAATAACCGATTCGCGATTTCTTTTGGTATCCTACATTATTGTATATTAAATTTGCAAAGTATCTTTGGGCAACGTCGAAGATCGACCTCGTCAGGCCGCCATGTTTCGAAGGAAGAAAATGGTGGCTATGCATGCGAATTTTAATTTGAAATAGTAGAAATACTTTTCCCTATCCTGAGCTATCCACGAGTTACCTTTTTCTGCTCCCGAAACAAAAGTAATCGCGATGGTCGACGACTCTGACACTCATGCTGCGATTTTCTTCGCATTAGGCGCAAGCAGCGCTGATGTACGACGCCGTATTCGTTCTCGTCGAGGCGTTCAACAAGTTCCTGAGGAAAAAGCCGGACAGGAGCAACGTGAGGAGGACAGGGATCCCGGGTAGCAGTCAAATTATCAATGGCACCAGGGCGTTGGACTGCAACAACAGTCGAGAATGGGTGACACCGTTCGAATATGGCGACAAGATCTCCAGGCTACTCAGAAAAGTAAGTAAACCCTGTCCTTGTCTTCGAAGAACGGCAGATATCCCTTAAAGACAAATACTATTTCATTAATCCACTCGAATGCGACACTTTTCAAATCTGACACACCAATCGTGCTTCTTCTCCTTCTTCCCGAATTTATTTACTAAAAATTTGAATACCGTGAGAGTGGAATGGAATAAGCACGGTTCTGAGAGAATGCGAAGTGTTTAGGACATTGTGTGAGAGAGGTCATATGCAAGAGGATCGACTGGAAGGATTACTTATGGCGAAGAAAGTTTAGGTACATTCTCTAGGGTTTAGGGTGCATGGCGCCATGAGGAGACGAAGTTGCGAGAATGACTGAGTGAGGAATTTTGGGTGAACGTGACAGAATGAATCGAGTGAGACAGGCTGAAAATTAGAGTGAAATAGAACGAATGCGTGAGTGTATACAGGGTGTCAGAGAAGTACGCGTGAAGACAGGTACTTTCGGTTGAAATGAAGCTAATTATTGTTACAAAAGAAGCGTCGTTACTTCTCGAACCCCTAAACCATAATCCACGAGTAATTTAAATCAGGATAATCCCTGCAATATCGCAACTCAGCAAATCGAACGGGATAAAATTCGATTTTTAACAGGGAAATGCATATCGAGTCACATAAATAAATAAAATAACAAACCCATCGAAGAGGAAGAATAGCAAACTGGCAATTTTTCTCATCTCGCAGTTTTTCGCGAATCGCGATTATTAAAAGTGGCTGGAAAATTTCAAACGGCCGTATGAAATCCCAAACAGTCCAATACTCATTCGCCATTCGTGGCACTCCATGCGACACGATTTTTTATTCACCACGCGTACAGACTAATATCGGCACACGTTCGCGACGAACGAGTCATTGGCGTTAAAATGGCGGCAAGGCGACGCGGGACGACGGAATGATTCATCCTGGGAATTCTTGAAACGCTGGCAGAAACGCAGAAATACTCGATATATTTCGAATAGCCGTGGCAACCGAAATTGCCAGGGACCCTTGCCGACGTCTCCCTGCCATTGACAGTAATTGGCGGTTATTCCGACTCTAACGGCATTAACGTCAAATCGTCCCCCTTCGTTCTGTGTATATACGTATACCGTTACACCGGAAGTGGCGCCCCTCTAACGTCGACTCCCCTGCTCTTTGTCGATTCGTCGACCGACAGTCGGCAAATTTGCCTCTGCCAACCTGAAGAAATTTACCATCTTCGAATCCGCAACGATCGGCGAGAGTCTGCCAGTGGCAGTGGGCTCGTTAACAGAGCTTTGGCAGAAGCTCGTTCTCGCACGAAAAATATAAAAAGTGGAAGGAGTTGGAAAAATTGAACGAGGTTCGAAGATACTTCAAGTCCCAGCTAACATCCGAAATTTGTAATTTTTAAATCGATATTGTAGAGACTTGGATGGTGGTGTTTAAATAATAGAACTATTTATTGATAAAGAATAATGGATTAACAATAGGAGGTGACGATTAAACATACGAATTTATAACAGCCATAACTTAAGACTACAACTCAATTCTGTAACACAATTACAACTCAGCTTGTTACAACTAAAATACAACTAAATAACTAATGACTCCTCTCTACACAACTCTGTTCTGATCATTCCTCAGACTTCTAAGACTGTCCTCCAAAAAACTGTTCACTAACCACTTCTGCCTTCTTTTATATCTTCCCCAAAAGCCTCCCCCAACAAAACAAAATATGGTCATGCTAAGGGCCTGACGCATTGCCGGGGTTTTCCAGATCGACCTGACCCTCGAACCCTCGGTGACTTTCCAAGCTAAAGTTACCTATACACGAGGTGGAAGTCCTGCGATACTACAATATTATGCCTAATTATTTTCTTCGCAGTTGTATATATTATCGATATATTATCGGCATTAGTTAATTTCCCTCCGCGTACTCTTTGCTCGCGAATAAGTAAATAATTATCGATACGCTGTTTGAGAAATTATGAGAAATAGTGGAACTTCCTTGAAATTACCGAACGTATGCAAACACGGTGCACGGAAAACAAAGATGCAAAGTTACATCAGAACGAGTATTGACACGTGGATTCGCATTCAACTTGCAGGTAGAAATCGAGGGACTGACGGGAGAGATCCGCTTTAACGATGACGGTCGCAGGCACAATTACACCCTCCACATCGTCGAGATGACGGTCAACAGCGCCATGGTCAAAGTAAATATTTTTTTCACCCAACGAACACGAGCCCCGTGTGTCCCTTCGCTTTTCAACCCCGCCGTTTCTCTCCGCTACGAAACGTAACCCGACGGTTTGGAAATTTTGCAATGCGAAAAAAGAAAAAGAAAAAAAGAACGCGGGAAAACACGACTGCAATATCAATTCCTTTTAATTCCACCCTGTTTTGCGCTGTTTGCTCGCCGACGCAACCCCGTCGGTTCGATGACTTCGCGCGACGATATTGAACATCGATGACTATCGACCGGCACGCGCGCGACTATGCGAACTTGGTCGAGGCTGCGACCTGGCCGAAGCTGTAAACCATTCGCGATTTACCTTTTAAGGTGGCCGAATGGTCGGACGAGGCTGGATTCCAGGCCATCGCGGCGAAATACATTCGGCTTCGACCGCACGCGGAAATCGAGAAGAACAGGACCTACATCGTCACTACCATCGTGGTAAGAAGTCACCTATAGAATATCGCCTTCTTCTGTAAAATATAAATTTCTAACACTTTGCCAACAATTTATAATACCGTTTCCCAATGACACAGGAGGAGCCGTATATCATGAAGAAGAAGTCAGACACCGGAGAAATCCTGACTGGCAATGACAGCTACGAAGGCTACTGCAAGGACCTGGCTGACCTCATAGCTAAGAAACTAGGAATAACGTGTGAGTATTACGCATGTACGCAATCACTGAAAATAGTCTCGAATAATTACGCCTTCTCCTTCGCCAATTATAACTCGCGGAATCGATATTCCCGGTATTTTGCCATCGTAGAAGCGAAACTACGCAGAGCTCGATTTAATTGCGAGGAGGCCTTGCGTCTCTCGCTCTTCTTGCCACTTCCGATCCTACGATAATTGTAGCTCATCGACTCGTACTAGTCGTAGAACTCGAATACTTCTCTGGCTATCTTTGGTACACGAATCTCGCGCGAAAGCCAACATTAAAAGGAGAAATTGGAATGAAAAACATGTCACGGGAGGAGCACCCACCTAGTTACCCCGCCCTTACCAGTTCAAGAACCTTCTCCCTCTATGACCGTTCGAATCAACGATCGAAAAGCTTCCTCTGGCTTTACGATCGTTCCCTACTCGCGAAACATCGTCGTGAACAACGCTCCGCGAATTTAATCGAATTTTCAATATTTTTCAGACGAACTGCGGATAGTGAAAGACGGGAAATACGGGATGGAAAATGCGGACGGTGGTTGGGACGGCATGGTCGGCGAACTGATTCGCAAAGTAAGTTACACGATGGATAACGGAAATCTTCGCGGCATGGATGCGTTTCTTAATTCGTGGATGCATTTCGAAACCGGTCTAAAGTCAGATGAACCTCGAACCGAGACGGAACAAACGATCTCGTCCAAACGAGCTTGCACGAAAGATTCTACTATTGATCCGCGAGGTCCGACTCGAAACGGACGTTAAAGCTGTTTTATCTTTGGTGAGAAAGTACGCGGCTCTTCCACCAGATGCCTCGAGCTTGCAAGCTCTTTGGCCTCGCGTTTCGAGCTACATCTGGCGGACGAGCTTCGAACGAGCGAAAAGAGAACGCGAGGGCTTTTTATTCGCGTCTGATGGAAATAATCTCGAACGCGAGACGTTCGGTTAATTATCCTCGAATAATTAGGTGATTAGGAGTAATATCTATTAGGATTCCGCGAATGACAAGTATGTTTATCAGGAAGTTAATTTCGCTATAAAAGTACGTAGGGTTTTTCGCGATATTTTCGCGTTACGTATAGCGTTTTAGGTGTAAGATATATGGATTAATTAATTGATTAATCGTGATGTTTTCAGGAAGCAGACATCGCCATCGCTCCCATGACGATTACTTCTGAACGCGAACGAGTGATCGACTTCAGTAAACCTTTCATGTCGCTGGGAATCAGCATCATGATCAAGAAGCCTATCAAACAGAAACCAGGAGTGTTCAGTTTCCTGAACCCACTGAGCAAAGAGATCTGGGTGTGCGTGATTTTCTCGTACATCGGTGTATCCATCGTCCTTTTTACCGTGTCCAGGTAAATGAGAATTTTTTCGCAGCTATTTCGACTGGCGCGCGGTTAAGTAGTTACGGTCGGTACATGGTCAGACGCGAGGGAAACGTATACGCGTTTGCTACACTTGATGTGTAAATTTTCATCTAAAGAGTGTTTAATGATTTTGAAATTTAATTTCCTATTCTGATCGACGAGAAAGAAATTTGGAACTAATTTCAAAGTAATAAGTAATAATTTTCTGAGGGAGGCATACGTCGATTTCTATCGGAAATTAGCATGGTCGGCGAACTGATTCGCAAAGTAAGTTACACGATGGATAACGGAAATCTTCGCGGCATGGATGCGTTTCTTAATTCGTGGATGCATTTCGAAACCGGTCTAAAGTCAGATGAACCTCGAACCGAGACGGAACAAACGATCTCGTCCAAACGAGCTTGCACGAAAGATTCTACTATTGATCCGCGAGGTCCGACTCGAAACGGACGTTAAAGCTGTTTTATCTTTGGTGAGAAAGTACGCGGCTCTTCCACCAGATGCCTCGAGCTTGCAAGCTCTTTGGCCTCGCGTTTCGAGCTACATCTGGCGGACGAGCTTCGAACGAGCGAAAAGAGAACGCGAGGGCTTTTTATTCGCGTCTGATGGAAATAATCTCGAACGCGAGACGTTCGGTTAATTATCCTCGAATAATTAGGTGATTAGGAGTAATATCTATTAGGATTCCGCGAATGACAAGTATGTTTATCAGGAAGTTAATTTCGCTATAAAAGTACGTAGGGTTTTTCGCGATATTTTCGCGTTACGTATAGCGTTTTAGGTGTAAGATATATGGATTAATTAATTGATTAATCGTGATGTTTTCAGGAAGCAGACATCGCCATCGCTCCCATGACGATTACTTCTGAACGCGAACGAGTGATCGACTTCAGTAAACCTTTCATGTCGCTGGGAATCAGCATCATGATCAAGAAGCCTATCAAACAGAAACCAGGAGTGTTCAGTTTCCTGAACCCACTGAGCAAAGAGATCTGGGTGTGCGTGATTTTCTCGTACATCGGTGTATCCATCGTCCTTTTTACCGTGTCCAGGTAAATGAGAATTTTTTCGCAGCTATTTCGACTGGCGCGCGGTTAAGTAGTTACGGTCGGTACATGGTCAGACGCGAGGGAAACGTATACGCGTTTGCTACACTTGATGTGTAAATTTTCATCTAAAGAGTGTTTAATGATTTTGAAATTTAATTTCCTATTCTGATCGACGAGAAAGAAATTTGGAACTAATTTCAAAGTAATAAGTAATAATTTTCTGAGGGAGGCATACGTCGATTTCTATCGGAAATTGAGCTGAGAAATTAAATTACCCTATTTTTCCTTGTCCCGTGTATTACATTGGAGTAATTATAGGTGACGTTAAGAATAGCCTATATTTCAATAATATTTACATTAGGATACGTTTTATAGTCATTAGTGACCTTTAACGAATATCAAAATGGAAGAAATTCGTGGTAAAGAACTGCAATTTATACGCTTCGTATACTCTACGTGGTATGTAAAGTACGATCTACAATATATTCCACATTCCGCTTTGCTGCAACGTAAATGAAGGAGAAGGGAAACTAGAACTTAGAACACGAGAAAGCGGCGATTTATTGTCACAGAAATTTCCGTGCCCGTGATTGATCGGTACACTCAATGCCACCCTCAAACTACACGACATTACCTTCCCCTTAGCCTTTTCCTCTCGATGGCTAATTACGCAACGGCTAACCTTGTTTACCTCCTCGGCAAGTGCCACGGTTACGTGTCGACTCGCGACAATTACGCGTGCATTTATCGTGATCTCGCGCCAACGCCGGTGGCGAGCTACAGCGATAAATCGTCCTTGCTTTTATTTCATTCTTACTCCTGGTATTTACCGTTCCCTATCTCGCGTGACTTCGCCAAATACGATCTTAAACGATCGCGACTAGAATTCGATCGTAATCTCGATGGACGACGGATAAACTCCAACACCTGATCGTTTAATCCTCGAATAATAAATATCCTGGACAATCTACGCCTGCCCGTCCAGTTTCTGGGTAATTAACCAAGGAAATATACGAGTGGAGAGAGGGCCTAGATCTTCCTTCGACGATAACGTTTTACGTCTTTTAAAAAAACCTATTCCTCTTTCACCCCTAACCGGTATCGTTGAATCAGGACTAGCTACGACAGTCTGGCTCCTATTATTTAGCTCAGAGGTATTTAAATTTATAATTGAAGTTTTTACTTTGTAATCCACTGTTTACACGATGGAAATTTCCGTTGACTTTTATCCCAAACGGTAGAAAAGTAGTAAACCTCTTATTTATTTTTTAATTATAATTTATTTCGCGGTAACCCTATCGAGGGTCTTTAATTGATGGATGTTTATTGCTACGTGAAGGTTTCTCGTTTTACATATCCTGTAACAGCATTGATCGTTAGACTGTAAAATGAAGCAATGCGAAGATCACTCGTATCAAAGATACCACTCAAGCTAATTTTTCTGTAGAAAGATTTGCACGTATTAACGTAAGGGCCCTAAAATGGATAAATGCTAGAACTTCCTAATTAGTATAGAAATATATGCTAGCATTCCAATGCTAATTGCATCGATTTTTCACAGATTCTCGCCGTACGAATGGCGAGTACTGACCCTAAGCAGCAGTGGAGACCCTTCGATGGGGACGAGGAACGACCCCACCCTGCAGCACCCTCACGGGTCACAGGGTTCGCCGCACATGCCGACCTCCAGCATGGCGAACGATTTCAGTATCATCAACAGCCTCTGGTTCGCTCTGGCCGCGTTCATGCAGCAGGGCTGTGACATATCGCCCAGGTAATCGTTCATTTGCTCGCAGCAACTCACCCCTGATCGCAGTGATAGCGTGACTCGCTATCCAGCCCGGGTGCTTCGTAAAAATTAATTACCGCTAATCTAGCTCAATTATCAGGCTTTCTTTCTGCGCTGTGTTCGAGTTCCCTTATCTATCAAGCGGCGCTATCGCGGAAGCTTGTGGGACTACTACCGCCTAACGTCGAGCGAAAGCAAGTTGAACATCTCTTTATCATCATCGTGATAGAGATCGGAAGTTAACGCGAAGAAAGCTATGAAAAGTGTTTGCCTGGTCGTTTAACGGGACTGCGATACCGGATTGCGTGTTGCGTTGCGAAAGATAGCTGCCTTCTTTCTCCAGTAATTATACCTACTTTCGCTCTGTTCTCCGTTTTCGTTCTCGCAACGCGAGCCAGCTGCTCCGAGTACACAAAGACACTGAGCGTGGAAAATGCTCGCCTTTTACTTGGAACAGGTCAACCGTGTTGTTTGCTAATAGGATGAATTGAGCGGGGTACCGAAGGTTCGCTTAAAGTCGCCGGCGTAAACATTTCGCGGTTCTACTACTGAGAAAGTTCGCAGAGCGGCGTGATCATCTACAAAGAGGCTACTTTTGCGTAATTAGCGACGAGGTTCGATTCAAGACGCGACAGGCGCTGAAGAAGGAAATAAGCGCGCTCGTAAATGACACCTCGCGATCCTTTGCCACGAGTATCTCTAAAGAACGCGTTAGTAAAGAGGGAGAATTCAATGTTAAGGTCTCTTGGATCTCTCTGTATTTTGCATTGGTGAAATTTAGGAAATCGATGGTATAGTTGAAGCGAAGAATTTTTACTTTTATTCCTTCGAAAATTTATACGTCGTAGGTGAAGAATTAGGATTGGGAGAAGACAATGTTCGTTACTTCTGCAGAAAATTGACGAGACGTCAATGACAGTTGGATACCTCGACGATAATAATCTAGATGAATAATATTACTAAACAATATACAAAAGACTATTTAATATTTAAATCGTGCCTGAGATTAGAGAATATACGAGAGAGTAAACTACCTAATTTTGACTACTTAATATTTAATACGCTATTACTAAATTATTGAATATACAATTTCAATAAATAATCAGAAATCTAGCTCTGTACAAAAATAATAGGTATTGCCTCCGCTGACTAATTTGCCATTTTAATAAAATTGACGTACTATTATAATTGATTAAAATACCCAAATATGTTTAACACCTAAATTCTACCACTCTATCAACACGATCTGACTCTCATATGAAACACCTATCGAACGAAAATTTCTACAACGATCAAAGGGGATCATTGTAATTGCGCGATTTTAAGCTGTCCTTCAACGCACGATCTCCATCCTCCACTAGATAGGCCAGCGATGATAACCTTTAAGAGGGTGATTTACTGGGACTACCCCCCGGAGAGGGTTAAGGTACACGGTAATTACTGTTGCAAATTCCTTCGTTTAAATTACAACTGCGTGCCGGGTAAACGGCGATTATAAACCGCGTGGGCAGAATTATCAGAATATAATCGGATTACGTTTCGTAGTCTCGTGCCGGGCGTAATTTAGAGCGGCCCTCTCGCAATCAGCGTCGCGATTAGGCGGCCGGCTATTCGAGGGCGGCTCATTTGAATGAGCGTGCCGTTTCGTGGCCGCGGCTCGAAAATTCCATTAGCGACACGCTTCGCCGACCGAGGTCGCGTATATACCTTTCTCAACCGATTCGACCCCTTTTTCTCCGCTTTTATATCCTTCTTCCCACGCATCGAGCATCGATCAACCCGCCATCACGAACCATACGTTTTCGTGCCACCGTGGTAACGCGAGTTTCTGCCCCCTTTGCATAAACGTCCGTGCTATTTCGCCGCATTCCTACCCGATTTCGTGTACAATGTTCCACCAACCAGCCGCGTTTCTTCTGCTTGTCGAACATAACGAGATCCTGGAGAAATGGACTCTATAGGCTGGACTAAGGACTTTCAAATGACGACGGAATGGTTAATTTACCTATCTTGGCGAACTAGCTAAAATTCGTGGAAATAATTTCTTTCCATCTTTTCAACCGACACGATCAAATTTTTAAAACAGCATCGGAGGTTGAGAAAAATTCCAAAACCATTCGAAAAATTTATAAGAAGAATATCAGAATATCAGACGAATTTTTCTAGAGCTGTAAAATGAACGTAACCTGAGATAATTGGAAATATTGTAACTCAATACCGAGGTAATGAAATATCCCTGAAAAGTGTGTATATTCGATAAATTTTTCTCATTTAACCCCCTCGCAAGTATTTACATCTTGTATACACACTATGATCAAAGTCAATTTGCACTGGGAATCACGTGTACGTACTAATTATTAAATTCCGTGAATATTTAAATATTTATATCACATATGTTCCCTTACGAGAGTGTACTCTAATGGATCGTGACGTGATTCGTCACATCAATCAACTTCCAATATGAATTGGCAACATCGTGGAATAGATATGCCATAACGCTAAACTCCTTTCGATACCCTCGTCTATACTTCCTCGCACGTGAACCGGAGCCTCCTTAAATTTCTCTGATATATCGTGAGCGTTAAAACAAACACGGCGCGGGATCACAAAGGATGAAACAATTCGCGAACGGACGCGCCGTAAATCTGCGGAGGAGCGACCGCGACGTTTTCGCGGACCGTTTCGGCCACTTCGTAACTGGGTCTCGATTAATTTCCATTCCGCCGTATCCACCATGCCAGCCCATCGAGGCGGTAGCCTCCTTGATTAATGGTTTAAATATTCGCGCGGCGCCGATATGAATTGTAAATTTCGCGGAACCTTCTGTCCTCCGCGCCCACCCCGCTCCGCCCCGCCCCGCTCCGCTCCTTCCGCGATACGACCGGTGATCCTGCGCGGACACACGTAAAGCTTCGATATTAAATATCGTCACATCCGTTCGACGTACGGTCTAATCCGATTGCGAAGTTGCCGCGGAGAAAGTGACCGAGGGAGAAAAGGGGATGAAAGTTACGACCCCTTGGGGGTCTTGCTGTTGGATTAGAGACGAGGTCTTCTGGAGAAGAGAAAACTGACGGAGAAGAAGTTGGAGGATGTCTAGGTTACATTTACGAAGAAGGAAGGGGATGAAAGTTACGACCCCTTGGGGGTCTTGCTGTTGGATTAGAGACGAGGTCTGCTGGAGAAGAGAAAACTGACGGAGAAGAAGTTGGAGGATGTCTAGGTTACATTTACGAAGAAGGTCTAGGTATAGTTTCTTCAAGTTCGGAAGAGAAAAGAGCGTTACTTGGGGGGTTGAAGGCGATTCGATCCTAGCTGTAGATAAGTTGGATCCACGCAAGATCCACCGATCAGGGATTACGAAAATTTCTCGCATTTATTAATTTTGAACAGACTATTCTATAATTGTCCTATTTGCTAATTTAATTTTTAATTGCTACTTGATACACGTGACAGCGAAAATTGCGTTTAACAGGTCAATATCGGGACGAATAGTGGGCAGCGTGTGGTGGTTCTTCACGCTGATCCTAATCTCCTCCTACACTGCCAACTTAGCCGCGTTTCTAACCGTGGAGAGGATGGTCGCGCCGATTAACTCGCCGGAAGACCTGGCCTCGCAAACGGAAGTGCAATACGGCACGCTATCTCACGGATCTACCTTGGACTTTTTTCGCGTAAGTTCCAAACGAATTTAGCGAAATCTCTGCGAGCTATCTGGGCAGGGAAGCCTATCGTGAAGCCCGGGGGAAAAACCGTCCCTTCCTTTTACAGAAGTCGCAGATTAATCTCTACAGCAAAATGTGGGAGTTCATGAACTCGAGGAAGCACGTGTTCGTGAAAACGTACGACGAGGGTATACGAAGGGTGAGGACCAGCAAGGGGAAATACGCTCTCTTGATCGAGAGCCCGAAGAACGAGTACATAAACGAGAGAGAACCCTGCGACACGATGAAGGTCGGCAGGAACCTCGACGCCAAAGGGTTCGGCGTTGCGACGCCACTGGGATCTCCTCTCAAGTAAACCTCGTCTATTTGCTTTTAATCCTCTAGCGTAATACGTTTCTTTGATGTCATTGTTGCTCCCAACTCGCTCCATATTCTTTCGCCCTCGATTTGCCCACTGTCAGACGATCTTTCGTCTCTCGTAGAATCGAGAGAAGAGACTAGGTCGAAGATTCCGCAAAACTGGAACGCGTAGCACGATCCACCCTCGAAGGGTGGTGCAAAGATTCCAGTACTCATCCGTAGATGAGAATTTTAGAAATAGATATTGCCATATTAGCACGAGATATTAATTTTCTCGTCCGAGAAAGAAGACAAACGCCTGGGGGGCAAACGAAATTCCAAATCTTTCGATAATCCTCGACAAAGCCACTCGCGATGTATTCGAACCGAGTGTCGAATCGAATGAAAGGACAGATTCGACCTATTTCTTCCATACGAACGCGTAATTAACGAGGTCTTGCAGCGATCAGGAAGAGGCGAAGCACCCACCCCTCTGGCCCGCCTCCTTGCGGCTCTTTGAAATTCCCCGGGTCTCTGGCTCCCTTTCCAAACATGCCACCACGTCGTTCCGCGTTCAATTAGCATAGAAAAACTCCTACACCCATTTTTCCGTATCATTACCGCTTAAGGGACGAGCCGACCCACTCTGCCATCGTCGTCTCGACTAACCAATTCAATCTCGTCCTCTCGTCGGGCCTTCCACCCTTGTCGAACAACGTTCGATTTGTAATTCAACCAACACACCAACTTCGATTTCGTTACATTTGTACGGGACGCAGTCGGTTTCTCCCTGTGGTATCTTCGCACAGTTCTCTGCCCGCTCCCTTCGTGGCCATTTTCGCGAATTGATAGATAAATTTTGACAAATAAAATTCGGATCTTATCCAAGGGAATGGGGAAAATTCGGTGAACTGTTTTCTGAAACGCGACACGTTACAGAGACCCCATAAACCTGGCTGTGCTGTCGCTGAAGGAGAACGGAGAACTGACGAAACTGGTGAACCGATGGTGGTACGACAGAACGGAGTGCAGGCACGGGGACAAGCAGGACGCTTCGAGGAACGAATTATCCCTGAGCAACGTGGCAGGGATATTCTACATCCTGATCGGTGGCCTGCTGCTAGCGCTGGCGGTCGCGCTGCTGGAGTTCTGTTACAAATCGCACACGGAGGCTACCAGAGCGAAGGTAACGAACTGGTAGACCGTTACAAAATAGAATTTTCTTCGATTCCGACGAGAAGCTCGCGAGTTTCCGAAGGAAAAATAGATTGGAACATTCGACCGCGAGAAAGAATTAACGATCGCGATGCGTCGTACGCGGCGTGGAAAGGCGAAGGAAAATTCTATTTATCGAAACGTCCGATTTTCCAGATCCCACTGTCGGACGCGATGAAGGCGAAAGCCCGACTGACAATCGGTGGCGGTCGAGATTTCGACAATGGCCGGGTAAGTAGCATCACGAATCGTCCACATTTCTAGATCCCTGTTTAACGATCGCACGCGTATTGCGCGGTTAGAGTAACGAGCCCGTAGGATCGTCCTGGACAATCGAAGAAAACGGCCGAGAAACGTTCCACTCGCCTTTTTCCCTTCTCTTTATCACGAGTAAACCTCGTGGAAACGTATCAACGAATAGACGATAGACCGCGTTTTATACCAGGAACGCTTTTATTCCCTTTTCTTCGATTTCGATCCAACGATCTCGATGTATCGTGTAACATAGGTCCGCAACGTGACGGGATCGGGCTGCATTATGCATATCCGTGTAATACAAGAACCTATACTACATATGTATACATAGAGGCATACAATAGAGTACGTTTGGCATGCAGTTAGCAGCGTGTATACTGTTCGACGTATATATATATACATATATATTGTGATCGAAAGACGGCCGAGTATCGAGAATTTCGAACAGGGACGTGGTTCTCGAGGACTATTCCGCAGACACGATCGACCAAAGGACGATCATCGATCGTTGTCGATGCATCGTGTATAAATGGATACGAGATTATACACGTATAAATAGATATTGCGTATACAGATACATTTATATAGATAGATACATATATATATATAAATAGATATATTCTACGTACATGCGTGCGATGTGCGGCTGGCTGGATGTGTTGCGCTCTTTTCTATTTCTATCTATCTCCTCCACTCTCTTTCTTACTCTCTCCATCTACTCTATCTCTACATCTATCTCTATCTTTGTACTCGATGGATGCAGGAGACGTAATTTTTGCTCGTTTTGCGCGTTTCGTTCTACTTTTGTTTTTGTCTCTAGTGGTACGGACTGCAGAGTTAGACGGAGGATGCATGCGCCTTTCCCGGGACCATATGTGAGTACTCTCTAGCCCTTAATTTTACATCCCATCGCGCGCTATTCGTCTCATTCGGTGTGTCTATTTTCTCTCTCTCTCTCTCTCTCTATCTATCCATCTATCTGTCTGTCTATCTTTCTATCTATCTATCTCTCTATCTATCTATCCTCCACTTTCCTTTCTGCTTCTCGTGTACACCATCTCGAGCAATATTCGCCGTCCGAGTCTCTCTAGCTCGCTCGAGCAGAGACTCCGATGGCGAATGATCGGTAGAGTACACGATCACCTTCAACAAGCTCATCGTGATCTTAGATTTTTCGACTTCCATTCACGTATCGAACTCTCACGATTCACCTTCGCTCGCTTTCTCTGCGTCACTCTTATCAATCACTCGTCTGAAAAACGAATCAATCGGTAGATGACGTGTTCCTTCATCGCGTTTCTGTCCTTCGACAATACGATATTATCGGATTCTCGGTGGATACTCGATTTCACGCGAGTAAACGAAGAGTATGAATCGGCATTCGAATTGCACTCGGCTGCCGAGAATTTACGTACACACAGGCGTCCTTCTACCTCCTGCTTTCGTTCCATGGCTCTTCCCTCACCTCTATAAGCTTTGGTTATCATGGAAACGCTGGCTTACGATCGCGAGATGAGCATGGCTTGCAGCAACTACATACTTAGAGGATCGTGCGAATGAGACGTGATTTGTCGAATCGCATGCAGCTTTGGAAACGCTTGTACATTAGACCGTGTTTACACTGCTACCATGCGTCCCGTGTACGCGTGACGTATTACGAGTTCCATTAGAAATCTGTCTATCCGGCTATTACAAACTGTCGATACCATCGTCCAGGATCGTGGGGATCGTTGATATCGACTATCGCGATTCCCGCAACAATCGATATTCCTCGCTTGGAACGAGGCGTTTTACCAAGCGCTACATCGAATTCCGCGAATCCGAGGATACACGCATCGAGCTTAACCGTTCGAGTCCCAGAGGGCTTCGAAAAAAAAAACACTGTCGAGGAATCCCAAGCAGCGCGATCGCGTAGGTACTCTGGTAGGTACGACAAAACCCAAGCAACGCGATAGCGCTTCTTCTATTTTATGTCGAGAAATCCCAAGCGGCGCGATAGCGCTTCGTTTATATTATGGCGATGAATGGCCAAATGGTGCGATAGCGCTTCGACTTTGAAAATCGGCGATGCACCGTCAGCTGTCGAGAACGCTCGAAATATCCTAGATCTTCTCGAGATGAAATCTGAACAGCGCGATCGCGCTGCTTGGGACTGAAACGGTTAACGAAACGCGACGGAAAATGGCGTCGTTCCGCAAACCTACATTTAAAAATTTACCCCTTCTCTTCGTTTCTCCTGCGCTTTTTCGGGGGATGTGTGTCAAGCGCGGTTTCCTGTTTCAAAACGCCTTTAACGCGGGCAAATGGAATTTTCAGTAGCAGTGTAAACAAACGTTTGAACGGAACTATGCATCGAATGACGGACTCGCTTCCATCGCGACGCTTCTCTCGCGGCAAACGGGCGATAGAATTCTTTCTCTTTCGC